CACAAGCTCAAGGGCACGGGGATCAATCAGGTTGGCGGGGGTATCGGAGGACGGCAATGAAGCAAGTAACGCGAGGAGTATGAGGAGGGCATTAAAAAAAGAATTGCGTCGGGGGTATTATAGTAATCTCCAACAAGCCTAGCCATCGCTACGGTATAGAGTCAAACATTGAATAATGAAGCAAAACACCTTTCCCCCTCAAAAATAAGTACCGAGGTAAATATCCGCCGCCTCAGAAACCGGACTTTCTCTTGCCCTTCTTCTTCGGGGACCGCATCGCGTGCCGTCCGGAAATCGGCTGCGACATGACCTGCGGAATCTGCGACGACATGACGGCCTGCGAGGACCGCATCGGCGAGACCTGGCTCGACCCGATGATTGGCGGCGCAGCAAACTTGGGCAGCGGCTGCGTGGCGGGCGCCTCCGACGGCAGCGGCACGCTCGCGCTCCCCGCCGGCCCGGAGTCCTCCATCTCGGACTGCGTGGCTGCTGCCGCCGTCTGCGACGAGGCGAGCTGCGACTTGCGCCTGCGGCGCTTGGATTCGATGCGCTCCTTGCGCTCTTTGATGGCGTCCATGTGCTTTGTCGAGGAGGCGAGCACGGAGGAGACGTAGTTCTCTGTCGGCACGCCGCGCCTGGTAGGCCAGTAGGAGAGGACCGTATGCTGGCGGGTCGGGCCCTCTGTTGTGTTGATGTCTGCAGCGAGCATGCTTAGGCGTTGGAGGGCGCTCGAGGCCGCCAGTGCTGCGTCGGCGGAGGCGGCAGAGGACTGGGACTGTGGTTGTGAGGAGAAGGGGTTTGAGGAGTACGGCGCCGAGGAGGAGGGTTTGGAGGGGGATTTCATGGGGGACATTGAGCGGCGGGGTTTCAAGGGGGACATGGAGAGCCGCGGCTTAATCGGCGACATCATCGGCCGTGATGCTTTGATCGGAGACATCGAGTCGCGTGGTTTAAAGGGCGACATCGACAGACGTTGGCTTCCTAGCGAGGATCTCTGGCTGGACATTGAGAGGCGCTGAATCGGCTGTCTAGATTGCACCTCGGGTGGCGTTGGGACCCAGGTGGACGGCTCGTCTTCTGCGACTGGGATGTTTTCGTCGAGGACCGCCACGCCGAAGAGGGATCTCGCGATCGCTTCTGCGGTTTCGGCGAGCACGACGCTGCGAGAGTGCTGTGCGCGTTCAGGGAGATCCGGCGAGTTCCATAATTCTTCGAGTTTGTGGCGGATGTCCGCCAAAGGTGTCACGTTTCCCTGGCGTAAGAGTTGGGATGTAAATGGCTGAGCGACGATGCGTTGATCGTTGACATCAAAAAATTCCTGGAGACGCGCGTCCCAAGCGGTGATGGCTTCGTTGCCCATTGGAGGTGCTTCAAATGTCGCCTCATACTCGTGCCTAATAGATGTTAATAAACCGAGACTTATCATCTTGCTTCATGCTGGACTCACAAAGTGTGCAAAGGGATGTAGCCCCCCTCCGTATCAAGGCAGTTAACCGTCGCATCTTGGATGGCGTCGAAAACGGATAGGGGACCCTCAATACTAGGCGTTTCAGCAGCCATGACGACTGAATCGATGGACATGGCGACCCGAGACAGGAAAAGGTCAAAATTCTGGGTCCTTGGCCATCGCTGCTGTAGTTGCTCATCATCTCCTCCCTGAGTTTGCTGCAAAATTTCTTGGTATCGAGTGGCACGACGCTGCACGAGCTCGTCCATGTCTCCCAATCCATCAGGCACCACAAACGTATCTCCAAAGTAATGTAGGAACTGCTTCCGCCTCCTTTTGTGGGCCCTCCTTCGAGCATCTTTGGACCAGTCGCGACTGTAGTCTGGCGAAATGATCTCAAGGTCGGGTTTTGATGTGACAGCCATGATAGTTTGCTCCAAAGCCAAATCCCTCCCGAGAACGAACAACTGCTGGAAGCCGACCTGCTGATTTAGGTATTCCGCACCGAGGCCCTTGAGCGGTTCTGATGACTGGCTAGTGAAGAAGGCTGGAGTTGGACACAAAGTCTGTATCTTCAGCGGCTTCTCGCCGGGCCCCTTTTCGAGCTTCATCATAAAATGCTGAAACTGGGGCAGGCCCGTCTTCTCGGGTACGGAAAACCAAAACAGCTCAACTTCGGGTGACTTCTCCGAATAAAGATACGCGATGCAACTCTCGTTGCCCAGTCCATGTCCACTATGATGGACCGTAAGCCTCAAAGAGTCGGCATCTGATATTCGAAGATGCTCGAATGACTGAAGTATGGCAAGGCCCCCAGTCTTGACTGCCGTCGGTGACGATGTTTCAATCCAGAACAGAGCCGACGTTGTGAGAACGACCGCTTGACTGCGATTCACCGGATTTGGCTTTACATCGAGGATGTGATCCGGCACATCCGACTTGAGTATCGATAAGCTGTGCCGGTAACTTGGGTCTTTCGTGTCAATCACCTCGAACCTTGTGCGGTTCCAGATCATGAGCTTTTTGGACCGTGCGGTCATCGCCGCCAAATCATTCTCCATTTCCAGGTCCTCGATGGCGGGGATATCCCAAAGATCCACGCCAACGCCGGCGGCACCGATCCACAACAGCCCGTGAGGCTCTGCGCGGAAGGCTGGCGAGTCTTCGTCAGGCAACTGTTCCGTGATGCCCAGCTGAATGTGACCGCAGTGTCTCAACTTGGCACGCTTGCTTGTTGACCCAACCATGTCTCGGCCCTTGACATCCCAGACACTGTAGTAGCCACACTCGTCGATGATGGCCAGCTGTGGAGGCTTCCTCTGAGACCCGTAACTGAAGGAGACATCGGAGTGTGGAAAGCCACCCGTCTGATCCGACGTGATGGTCAAGATGGGCTTTGGGTTGATTCGGGAGGGGCGTTCAACTGCCTTGTCAATGCCCGGCCGACGCTCTGAAACTGGAATTCTGTGGTACTCCGGCTGGAGGACCGTGGTTGATGTCCTTTTTTGCACCAGCAGCCACCGAGTGGGCTCGAATCGTACCAAGCTAAGCGCAGGCTTGAGTTGCAGAATAGGAGCTCCGCCACTGGACCATAGCACAGTCTCCTCCCTGTCCTGCTGATCGACATTCAAAAGACGAAGCGTAGGGTTCTCGTCTTCACCCCACTGCCATTTCGTCTCATCCAGCCTAGATAGCCGGAGAAGCTCCCCAGACTCGCCAGTGGCCATGGCCAGTACCGGAACCGGGGAGATGCGAGTGTGGTTACTAACGTCTGCCATCTGGCTAATGGTCATGAGCGGTTGTGCCGTGGGGGTGGCGTCGGGGCGCATCATCTGAGAGAGGCCCTCAGCCAAGAAGCCGGCAGCATCGGAGCTTCCGATGAATGCTTCCGGGTGGGCGTTGAACAGCCATCGTCTCTGCACACGTTGCGAGTCCCACACAGTCGAGGCAGGTGCGTTCTCCGTAGATCTGGCTGAGGGGTATAGTGTTTCCAGAGGTTGAATGATGCGAAGGGCTCGAGCTGGTCCGGCGTCAGTGTCGTGAAATACAGGCTTTCGGCGGCCGACCTACCTAGGCTTGGAACACGGCTGACGTGCAGCTGAGGCGGTCCTTCCTCGAGGCCATCATGAGGAACGATTGTGATTCTCGGGGGGCCGTACAAGCGGCTGGTCTCTTCCCGTACGTCAGCCATTAGACCCAGTTGTTTCCCTTAGATCCAAGCAATATGTCCGTGAGAAACTGAGCATATCGTGAGAAGACGACGGCGTGTGTTGCATCATGCGATGGTTGGTTTTAGTGGACGGTGACGGACTAGGCACAGTCGGTGACCATATGGCTGCCTGTTGACGGTAGATATCCAAGAGAGCAGGCGTCAAAAAGAAGCAAATGCTGGCATTCGCAGCAAGATCGGTGTCATAACGAGATATGACGGGTGAGACATGCGACTGACACTGAGAAAGAGGAAAAGTTCGGTCAATCGCGGCTCACAGGCGCGAATGCGACGCCCATTTCCGGTAGTTGCGGTGTCCACCTTGGGACCCAGCCAATCCCTGCACCGCGCAAAGAGCTTTCTGCACCAGCGCGTCCGACGCGTTTGGTTCGGCCCACGCCGACTAAGGTGGCCCCGCTTCCGCTAAACACTAAGGTAGGTAGGTACCTTGGGTACACTAAGGTAGGCGGGCACCTTTGATGGCGGTCACTGAACATCACCCACCTCACTGCATCTCGCCGCGCCTCGACGTCTCACTCCCCTGACACATTGCCCATGAGACTCCGAGGCCGACGATAATCGCCATTTCACAAAATGCCCGCCGACGACAGGACCGGAAAGCAGGCTGCCGCACAGCAGGCCGTCGATATCCTCCATGAGATCTCTGTTATTCTCGTAAGTCCTGGCCGCCGCGCCTGGCTCACGCTTCCGGGGATCTGACTCTGACCATTTTCACGTGAAGAACTGCCATCTGGACCGCCGCACGCTTTCAATCTGCATCTCCATGATTGAGAATGGTGTCAACCCCGAGGCTCTGGCAGTAAGTAGCAATATGTCTCGTGCAGTGCAAACGCCCCAAGCTCATGTGTGTACTTTTCAGACCGTCGTCAAGGAGTTGAGGAAGGAGGCCCAAGAGGTGGATGCGCAGATTGCTTCCCGTCGTCGATGAGAGAGGATACATGACGGTATACCCGAGGCGCTTGATCATGATGGTTATGAAATTAGGAGACGGTTAGGGCGGACGGAAATAGCCACTTCACGGCGTTCTTTGGCGTTGGTTTTGTTCAAGATCGTTCATATTCTATTATGGAGACTTCCTAGAACCCAGTCTCCATGGGTGTACGAAATTCAATGTCCCACTCCAGGGCTGGCGAATTTGGCCTCCTGAGAACGCCGGCATCCAAAACCCAACCAAAGCTATGCCCGCCACCCAAACCATGACCTATGAAACCCGTATGTCCAGACTATGATACCGTCACATGCCCCTTTGCGCCGTTCTCGATTCCGTCGCACAGCCCGAGCGATATACCTCATCATTCATAATACGACGGCATGTCTGCCAGATCAACGGTGACCAATGAGCATGAAGTCATTGTCATCGTCGTCGTCGTCGTCATCGTCTTCCTCATCATACTCATCGTCCTCTTCCTCCAAGTCGGTAGACATGGAATCGCTGTCTTCTTCAGACCTACGTTGAAACCGACCCCAAAGGTTCAGTATATCGTTGTCTGATTCCTCCTCCTCGATCGCGCCATGCAAAGGGTTTCGTGCAAGATTCGGTGGCAGACCGGGTGTAGGCGCTGGAGAAGCTGATCTTGCCAAACGATCTAGCACCAAGAACCGTGCCTGTGCCTCATTTGAGGCGTGTGAGGAATGTCGGCGCCTTCCAATGGCGGTGCTCGTGGCAGTCCCGTCAGTGGCTATAGTTGACGAAGGGTCAAGAATCCCTGTACTGCCGTCCGTGGCTCCAACCAACGGACTATCCAAGATCGCAGCCATCTCCAATATGGCAGCAGGCGTTGGAGGGTCGATTGGAAGTGGCCGTGTGGTAGTTGCCCCGTCCCTTCCACCGCGGCTGGGAATAGCTTGCGCGGTAGCTGCACCTTCTCTTCCGCCGCTGATCTGCAATTCTACCGTGTTGTACGAGGTGCATATGGCGCACTTGAGGCCTAACCAGTGATAGGGTACCGAGCTTCGACCACTGCAGTCATTGCAAAGAACTGTGGCGCGCGTGTCCCTGAACTCTGGAGGCATGGGCTGGCTCAGAATCGCCAACTCCAACTGGCGAAATTGGCTTTGCATGTTCAACAAACTCTTGTTGCAGATGGGACACTTGTATGACCGCAACATGTGTTCGTCATAGCATCTCTTGTGAATGCTGTGACCGCAAGGCATGAACACGACAGGCTTGGGAGAGGTGAACATGTAATCTCCACAAATGGGACAGTCGCAGTCTGTCGAACGTTCGATACACTTATGTGAGTGCTGGATCGATATTGAGATACAAGCACAACATTTCTGAGCTCGGGGTCAGCAGTAGTTAACAGCGTGGCGCGAAAAGAAGGCAATCACCTTGCAATGGAAGAAATCCTTCCCGATGCCTCTTCCTTTCCTACAAATGCCGCAATCGCCGCAGTGGTAAATACTCTTGGTTGGATCATCGTCCCACAGCTTGCACACGTTGCAGTAGTAGCGAGCGGCGGTCACGCCACAGTTGACGCAAACCTCTGACGCCCTTTGAGGACAGGCACAGAGCATGCAAAGCATGTTTTTGGTTTCCTTCCTAATGAGAGTGTGATCCTCGACGGCGTCATGACAAAACCGACATGTGTACCACTTGTTGCAAGTCGAGCATTGCAGCTTAATGTTGCGCTTGTAGTGCTGGCAGCCCAGAACCCTTGCGCCCTCGACCTCTCCAGGAATCGTGGGCTTTGCCGGGGCGTAGGTTGGTCTGACATCTTCCGCCGTCAACACAAACTTTTCCGGAGAGGATGGCTCCCCTGGAGGATGCTGCCAGAACTTCAGGGACTCCAGGGGTCCCGATGGGAGTGTTTGTTCCCACGCTTCGCCGGCCGGCAGAGCATCCACAGGCGGGTCGCCTTGCTGGGGAGTACCACGGGACTTGCGGTAGCCCTCCATCAGCACCTCGTGCATGAGCCTGGCTTTTTCCTCCCCCCGTATCTCCTGGCCTTGGATTTCGATAAGGCGCTTTCGCAATGCGCCCATGCCATCGTCGGCCGGCAAGGCCTCACGCTTGGGGACATGCATCGGGACGGTGATGGGGAAGGATTCCGGGGGCGCACGTGCTGGTTCGGACGGGGGCTGCTCGGCTTCGACGGTCGGCGATAGAGTATCTGCGCTGAGAGGTCGGTCCGGAGGAGTCACCGCAGGCGCATCGGTCGCATGCCGAGGGGCGGGGGCTTCCGAGTCGCTGGCAACCGCGAGGTTGTCGGAGGACGAAGCGTCGGCTTCGGGGACGAGAGTGGTTCTCGAAATCTCAGAAAAGCGGCGTGCTTGCCGGAGGACCGGGTTGATGATGAACTCGGAGACCAAAGAAGACATTGGGAATGGGGCGTCTTCTAGATCTAGGTTCGGATGACCGAGTTGGCTATGCAGCAAGTGACACTCGGTTGTATGACAAGGCGTACATCCAGAGCGACAGGCAGCAAGAAGAGGAGGAGTAGGTTGGCCGGGGAGGCTCGCGAAAGATATACAAAGGAGCGGTGGTGGTAGAGGCGGTGGTAGTAGCGGTGGGAGAGTTGGTGTCGGGAGTGGTACGGTCCCGGTCGATTGGATGCAGACGAGATGACATAAGATGGTCTCGAACTACAGTGCGCTGGCTTGTCGTCGGCGGCGGCGGTCGTCGGGGTGGACGCAGTGGGGATGAACTGCGGCAGGACAAGACAAGACAAGTGCAGTCAGGCCAAGAGGAGCGACTGTTTGTCTAGCACAAGTGTCGGAGAGCCGAAGTCTGCACCGCAATGGGGTCGGTCAGAGCCAACAGCGACTAAGACTTCGATTTGACGACGGATCAACCCAGACCAGACGGGGCCAGGAGGGGGGACGGAGCGGACGGGAAGGGACAAAAGACATGTGATGCGCCTGGCTGGCGATTCCGCATGCGGCTTGAAGTCGAGAGGCTTGACCGGCGGGGCTGATTGGCCGCGACCGGTCCGGCACAGGCAACGACCCCCTTTTTTCCTGAGGGTGGTGGTGCCCGGGTGAAGAACACCGCTGGACGGGTATTCCTCGCTGCAGTCTGCGCAGTTCTTTACTGGGTGCCTGATTATCTAAGACACCCGACGGAGTGCCTTGCAGAACCTAAGGTATCTAAGGTACTGCGGTGACTACCTACGTTACGGAGTAAGGCACGCAGAGGGAAGCTGAACATTTGAAAAGGAAGAAAACATATTCTTGCTTCTCTGTCCACGCACGACTCAGCACCCCGCCGCCCAAGACTCCGCCCATTGTCGCGACGCTGGAGGTTGCACACACCGACGCCCGAGTTCTGAGCCCACCCTCCGCCGACTTTCGCGTTGCACCGTACGGCAAGGAAGACGCGGTGGATGCCCATCGATGTGCACTGGCATTTCCGGCAGGGTCCGAAAACAGGGACCCCATCCAGAGGCCCGGAAGGGTTAGCGCCGCCAGAGCTTCGGCCAGAGGAGCCACAGCTGTCAACTTGAAGACAAGACATTGTGCTTCTGACGCTTCTTACGTGGATGCTGGCCTGTGTGTCTGTTCCGCATCGCCTGGCGGCATCGTGTGGCCTTGGACGGGACGGGCATCCCGTTATGGCTTGGTGCTAGGAAGCAGTAGGAAAGGCACGCGTGCCTGGAGGCCTTAGTCAGCTCGGATTGAGGACAGACAGACAGTGATGGCCAACTACACGGCCTGCCGTCACCATGCGTCTCATCAGTATCCGTGCCGATGAGTAGTATCTGTAGTCGGGGCCCAGAACTCAGGATGAGATGCAGCGTGGGAGGATGCTCGATATAGGAGGCTGATCACACAGCGGGCGACGATGCACCGTGGGGACTTTAGGGGGAGGCAGCTGTGGGGGCAGGGGGTAATGGAGGGGCCATTTTGTGAATTAGGGCCATTCAGGACCATTCCATCGAGAGGGAATGCGTGTCCCGTCCGCCAAAGGACGCAGCTTCGTCCAATGGCAGCCCCCAAACCGATTGGCCGGCTCCCGGGGACTGGATTCGCGTAAAGTGCGGGTTGGTCTGGAAGGGAGGGATACCGTGTCGGTTGGTGCATAGGTGGCATTTATTTCGTGTGTCCAGCAAGGGGGCGCTCCTACGCTCCTCCAGCTGGGTACGCTCCATGGCTTCTACCTTGTTGCTTGCTCTGCCACTGCCTGCCTGCCTCTACGGATACCTGGCCCTTGCCTTAGATGCTCCCGATTTAGCAGGGCCTCACCAAAAAATTCCCCCGTCATCCAATTGCCCAGGTCCATATTAATTGGATGATTCCCTTTCAGCTGTCCACTTCTCGAGGTTCTTCTTCCTTCAGCAACCCCTTCACGATCTTGTTGATGAGGAGCTGGACATCCCGTAGCCCCAGGAGCACACCATTCACTTTTGTTTGAGGTGCGGCTTCATTTGGCTCTGTGGTCCTTTCTTACCGTCTTCTCCAGTCCGGAGAATTTCAGGTTCCTACTTTTATTTTTACACTTTGAGTCTTGACTCGTCCGATCCTTAACGCGGAAAGCTCAGAGCTCCTGTTCCTGTTCTTGGAGCTTGACTCTCTCGCCTTCCCTACCACACACCCCCTAAACCGCGTTCGTCGAGACCTCTGGTCTTTCCGTCTTTTCCAGTCAGTAGGTTGCCCTTATACTGCATTCCTGCCCTCTTCAGCCCTTCCGTTTGCTGACCTTGCCTTTGCGCAGGCATGGCTGCCGAGAAGACAGTGATCGCGTCCGGCGCAGACGTCGGCGATGGCGTCAGACGAAGAGCCGCCCCTCAGGGCCAGTCAGTTCCCGTAACGGCTGCCCCTGAGACCGATGACAAGAAGAAGTACGCCAAGAAGGTAATTGGTCCCTGTTTCGAGCCTGTTCTTTGTCCAGACGAAAGAGCTCCATGCTGACGACACAACCCCCCAGCAAACATCATTTTTCGACGAGTGGGAGGTAGTCATTGCCCCTCTCATCTTCACGGCCGTCGCAATCTTCACCCGACTCTGGAAGATTGGCATTAGCGATATTGTCACTTGGGACGAGGCGCATTTTGGCAAATTCGGAAGCCACTACATCAAGCATGAATACTACTTCGACGTCCACCCGCCCCTGGGCAAGATGCTCGTTGGTCTGTCTGGAGTTCTCGCTGGCTACAATGGATCTTTCGAGTTCAAGTCTGGTGAGAAGTACCCCGAGGATGTGAACTACACCTTCATGAGAGCTTTCAACGCTTTCTTCGGCATCGTCTGCATTCCCATGGCCTACTTCACTGCTCGCGAACTGAAGCTGAGACGCCCCGCCGTCTGGCTCGTCACCCTCATGGTCTTGTGCGAGAACTCCTACACCACCATCAGCCGCTTCATCCTCCTCGACTCGATGCTGCTCTGCGGAACTTTCGCCACAGTCCTCTGCTGGTCCAAGTTCCATAACCAGCGCCACAACTCATTCGAGCCCGAATGGTTCTTCTGGCTGTTCATGACGGGTCTCAGCATTGGCTGTGTCTGCAGTGTCAAGCTCGTCGGTCTCTTCGTCACTTCTCTCGTCGGTCTCTACACCATTGAGGACCTCTGGACCAAGTTCGGCGATGTTCGCATGCCCGTCACTACCCTCGGCGCGCATGTCGCTACTCGTGTTGTCGGCCTCATCATCCTCCCCTTCCTGGTTTACATGCTCACTTTCGCCATGCACTTCGCCATTCTCGACCACACCGGCCCTGGCGATGCGCAGATGAGCTCCCTCTTCCAGGCCAACCTCAAGGGCACCGAGGTCGGCAAGAACAGTCCTCTCGAGATTGCCTACGGATCTCGCGCCACGATCAAGAACATGGGCTACGGAGGCGGTCTGCTTCACTCCCACGTCCAGACCTACCCCGAGGGTTCCGGTCAGCAGCAGGTCACTTGCTACCACCACAAGGATGCCAACAACGACTGGTTTTTCTACCCCAACCGCCACGACGAGGACTACGACGCGGAGGCTCCCGTCCGCTTCATTGGCGACGGCAGCACCATCCGCCTGATCCACGCTCAGACCGGCCGCAACCTCCACTCCCACGAGATCGCCGCCCCCATCACCAAGGCCGACAAGGAGGTCTCCTCCTACGGCAACCTGACTATTGGCGATGACAAGGACCACTGGCAGGTTGAGGTTGTTCGCGATGTTGCCTCGCGCGACCGCAGCCGCATCCGCACTCTCACCACGGCATTCCGCCTCAGACACCCGGTTCTCGGCTGCTACCTTCGCGCTGGAAATGTGAACCTGCCTCAGTGGGGTTTCAAGCAGATCGAGGTTACCTGCACCAAGACCAACAATCCCAAGGACACCTACACTCACTGGAACGTCGAGGCTCACTGGAACGACAAGCGTAAGTGCTCATCAGTGTAGACGACGATACAGCCCTTGCTAACCTAAACCTAGTGCCCCCCGCCGACGCCGGTTCCTATAAGTCTCCCTTCCTCCACGACTTCATCCACCTCAACGTCGCCATGATGACCTCCAACAACGCCCTTGTCCCCGACCCTGATAAGCAGGACGACCTTGCTTCCCAGTGGTGGCAGTGGCCCATCCTGCACGTTGGTCTGCGCATGTGCGGCTGGGACGACAGCATCGTCAAGTACTTCCTGCTCGGCAACCCCCTCGTCTACTGGGGTAGCACAGCCGGCCTTGGAGTCTTCGGCCTCGTCGTACTCTGGTACCTCGTCCGCTGGCAGCGTGGCTACAGCGATCTGAACGAGAAGGAGCTTGACCAGATCCACTATGCGGGAGTCTACCCCGTCGCCGGTTGGGTCCTGCACTACCTCCCCTTCATCGTCATGGCTCGTGTCACCTACGTCCACCACTACTACCCGGCGCTCTACTTCGCCATCCTCACCTTCGGCTTCCTGGCTGACTGGTTCTTGCGCAACAAGCAGCAGGCCATCCAGTACGGCGTCTACGGGGCGCTGTACGCGGTCGTCATTGGTCTCTACATCTTGTTCAGCCCCATCTGCTTCGGCATGACGGGCCCCAACAAGCAGTACAGCTACATGAAGTGGTTCGATACCTGGAGGATGTCTGACTAAAGCACTCTCGGAGGTAATCTGTGGTGGAGGCTTCTTCTATCAACACGGTCCATGGATGGACCCTGTACTTGAAAGGGCGAAAACAAACTTCCATTTTCCCCACCCAACTCTATGTAAGGATATGGGCGATGATGAGCGCGTCGACGTTAAGATATACATCTTGAGATAGGGGAAGATGAGGAGGAGGAAGAAGAAGGCGGAAAGAGATTTCCGTACATAATGCAACATGAACTGTTTCCTTGCTTCCATTGAGGATTGTCCGCTTTGCTTGCGTACGTGAACGTGTATTAAAATTATAGTAATAGTACATTGATGGACGAACA